ACACAAGTCTCACAGCCGTTAGTTCCAGTTGATAATATTAGTATACAACTTCTGGTATTACTGCCAACACAATTACATTTACATAACTATTACACAAGTCTCACAGCCGTTAGTTCCAGTTGAAAATATTAGATACAACTTCTGGTCTCACTGCCAACACAGTTACATTTACATAACTATTACACAAGTCTTACAGCCGTTAGTTCCAGTTGAAAATATTAGTATACTACTTCTGGTCTCACTGCCAACACGGATAGATTTACATAACTATTACACAAGTCTCACAGCCGTTAGTTCCAGTTAAAAATATTAGTATACAACTTCTGGTCTTACTGCCAACACGGAGACATTTACATAACTATTACACAAGTCTCACAGCCGTTAGTTCCAGTTGAAAATATTAGTATACAACTTCTTGTCTCACTGCTAACACAGATACATTTACATAACTATTACACAAGACTTGCAGCCGTTAGTTCCAGTTGAAAATATTAGTATACAACTTCTGGTCTTACTGCCAACACGGATAGATTTACATAACTATTACACAAATCTCACAGCCGTCAGTTCCAGTTGAAAATATTACTATACAACTTCTGGTCTTACTGCTAAAACAGATACATTTACATAACTATTACACAAGTCTCACAGCCGTTAGTTCCAGTTGAGACAAGCACAAGGATATGGATCCATGTTGCCAAGAAGGCTTGTTTTTAACTTCTGCCATTAGTTTTATGGGCCATTTACTGTGTTTTGAAATATTAGGATAGCTTTTGACACATCTGATAACGGTAGTCCCATTAAACATCTTCCACATAAATACTTTTCCCTCTGACAATAATGGGTGAAATAAACAACATCAATTTTTGATGAAACGATACACCATGAAAAAAAAAATCGGATTGTGTGGAGCAACTTTCATTCAGGGCTTGCATCAGAGAGAAAGGGATTTTGAAAAAACAATAGGATCTAATCACTTTTGGTGTTACTTACATGAACAGAAGCATCATTTTGCAGATGGCCTTAGATGGGGGTGGGGGCCAAAAAAGGACTGATCTGGTATGGGCCCCCACAATTTAGCTGGCGCCGTACGCTATGGCGTAACTTACGTATATGTGTTAACCTGGCGTAACTAAAAATGTTTATCACAAACTGATATTTGGGGCTCCCTCCCAAACGTGGGGGCACTCTTCTCTTCTTTAAAGTACCTTCTTTAGAATAAAGTGTAGATTGCATAATGATCAATATATATATTCAAGTAATTCAAATTCGATAACTTCATTTATGTATTCAATTGAACAGAACTGTTCAAATGAGGTTTTTCAGTGTATTGATTTTGTTATGTGGTATCACGAGCGGAATTCCAGGGGATGTAGAGGCCGTTGTGTGTGTTCTTACGGCGAATTTTGGTTTTAAACTGTTTGAGGTGTATAGAAACACCTATCTAGGAGCTTACATTTATTTTGTCTACAACCAGTCCAAGAGAGACTTAAATTCTTACGATGATGACAAAACCTTGTCGAAACATTGTACATTTGCTGTTATGTTAAACTTGTATTAAAGTTTTTCTTCATTACCCATTCAAGCCGTCTCCAACCATTATTATATTCTAGTAATCTTATCCATCTGTGGGTAACTGGATAACAACCTTGGGATCGTCAGGAGATAGTTATTTATCAATATTTATGAGATAGAGTTGCAGCCTTTGTTGGACGGCCCTCTAGTTAACTAACTATATTTTCACATTCAAACACACTATGGTTGGAAATATATTAGTCCAATGTCCAAAACTAATAGAAGTATTACATAAGTTGAGTAAGTTATATTAAACGATTTTTAATATGCAAATCAGCAAGTCACCTTATAACCACAGCCGATATAAAGTAGCCATGAAACGGAAAGTATAAGAACTGCATTTTGACATTTTTGGTTCTCGTAGATAGTGTGATGTCACCGAAAATTGGTTGTTTTCCGACATACACACAAATCATAAAGATGTGTTCAAATCGAGGATTCAGAATTTTCAAGAAGGGGATATCTTTTGTACTTTAAGGCATTGTAAACCAAAGAAATATGGATCAACTTGGTGTACCAAGACCATCGAGGAAGAAACCTGCAACTGTAACAAATTAAAATCCACGAAGAACACAAAGATCAGTGGGAAAAGCCGTCCACCAGGCAACAGTACGCAATATAATTAAGACAGATATCCATCTAGAAAAGCAACGCAAGCTGCTTCCACGACATACCTGGTTAACCGTTGCATACCTTAAGCAGCTAGAGAATGAGACGCATATTCATGCTATTTTATGTTAAGACGTACTGTGCACTTCCCCGAATGTAGAGCCTATGAATTTCCATGCAATCGAACTATTGAAACAGGCACTGGGTAATCATTATACTAGTATATTAGATGGACTATTGAAACTATTCAGGTAGGAGTGGTGTGCTAAGTACATGACAGTTTCACAACGGAACCTGTTGCAATGCTACAGGGCTATTACGAAAATGCACGGTTATCAGAAAGATCATGACCAAACGTGACAACGTGAGCTTTAACGACATTCGTTGTAATATAGCGTATTAAACCATTATATAGGCACATGTATTTATGGTAATACTTTGTTTAAAAGGTGGCCAAATAATTGCCTGAGTCGACCTAGAATGGGCGGGGAGCATTATTTTAAGAAAATTCTGTTTCTTTCGTTGCTTTTATACATATGTATATATTATAATTACGCAGTATGAAACACAAATTTAAGTAAAACACCACTTTTTACGGCGTTAAATCAAATTATGTCGACATTCACATTAAAATATTTTGGGACACTCGAGAAATATTAAGTCCTTCATTGCTGAAATTATTTGGTTGTGTTTTCCAGGTTATCAATGCACTAGCTTTAGACTAACTCCTGGGTTAAATTCTACGTAATAAGGTTAGCTGAACCTAAATATGGAACGGGATACTTTACTAAAAGCTAACTGGACAGATTTACGTATGTTTGTGGATCCACAAAGGATTTGTATGTCCTGAACAGACTTGAGTCTATGTGAAGCAAGATGTATCACACATACAAAACTGGATAGAGCATTGTTTGAAACATGAACTGAACTGAATATTAATGTTATTAAAAATAAATCGGAAAAACAAGAAATATACATAGAACCAAACGTAAAACTTTTGCAAGTGTAGTTATTTGGCATGTGAACACACTATGAACTGGTAAACAGACTGTAGTTTACACGAAATTATATTCGCCTTATCTAGCATTCTGATATTAAGCGTCTTTAGCATAGATGTTGATGTTTTTATAGAGGTCGACATCCGTCATATATTATCAAGTTTCTTTTATCTTTACCTCTACTGACTATAAATACAGAAATCTGAAACTATTCAGACAAGCATATAAGTAATTTGTTTTTATATGAAAGTATAATTATAATTGTGTAGTAAGAAATAGATGTTTATGAAATTGTCTAATTTTTCCCCCATTCTATTTAGGATGTAGCCGTTTCCATTTCCAACATCTTCACTAGCCTTGCAGAAGTCAAAAGTTATTATGATTCCCTGTAACGAGCCAACAGATCCCATACCGTCTTTTGAGGAAGATGGCTTTCCTATTCGCTATCTGGGTAGTACCACTTTCAATGTTAAAGGGAAGAAAATTGACATACAAATTCTACAACGACCGCTCCTCGAGCTTTATTCGAAGGCTAGACGTAGAGGCGAAGACCAACGGGCAGTCCATCCTCTGGGTTTAAACCAGATTCTTCATGTGTCTGATTATGGACTTGTAGTGGCGGAAAGTAATCAGGATCACGAGACTGGCGATGCCATTGCTGTGGTAACCAAAGTCCTTACTCCAGTTTCGAGTCTAGCTCTTTGGGCTGCAGTGAGATTCCATACTCGAGTAATGAAGCGTAAAGCCTTTGGTGCAGCTTTCGTGCCTCTGGCCTGTTCAGAAGCCGTCGTTAATGAAGACCAGTACACCCGACTTGCTAACAAACAACGATTTCTAGTTAGTTTAACTCATCCATCGTTGTTCACCTGCCTCTTCCGTCGAGTTGCTTCTCCTAAGTCTGTCGAGTGTCACGCGTTTCTTTGCTCTAGTGCCGAAGATGCTATGACCATTTGCTCTATATTAGGAGACACAAAACAGCTATGTGAACGCGTTGGTTCTATAGAACTTTTGGTTGAAGATGGAATAAGCAGTCGGGCTTCAGACTTTTCGGGAAGATACGACGCTACTCATCTTCAGCGTGAACTGACAGCAAGAATAGAAACGCCGTCTTTAATCAGCCATTCAAATGAACCTATCACACGAAATCATTATCACAAAGAAAAGTGTAATGGCAGTAAGAGCCAAATTAATGGTCAACTAATGGGAAGACGCTTTGAACGAGAACTGAGAGATATTCCTTCTTCGCCAGATTCAGGGCGAAGATATGTCAAAAATAATTCCAAAATGTCCCGTCACAAAAGAGTTGATGACTATTCATCCTCTCCGAGTCTCGAAAAGAGAGAACGTCTTCAAAAAACTCGGAGCAAATCCTGCGAGAGGAGAGCAAGCAAGTACAATACTAAAATATCTCGCAATTCGAGAAGCAAGTCCTGTGAAAGAATGTTAGATGAAAGCCCCTCTTCGCCTTTTGGAGAGCAAAGGCAGTTGTTTTTCGGAAATTGCAGATCAACTCCTGGTGACCGGCGAGAATTTTTCTCGAACTTGGATATCAGAAAACCAACTTTAGATGAACAGTTTGGAAAATATTGCTCTGAAGACAGCTATTCATCTCCTAGTCTTTTACGAAAACACCTTAAACATCGCAGCAAATCAGCTGAACGAATAGCTAATGATATTTCATCTTCATCAGACACTGATGGAAAGCCTACGACCATAAATCGTAGTAAATCAGCGGAGGGAATTTCGCAAGCCGCGCAGTTTTCAACAAAAATCTCTGAAAACACCACAAATAGAACTAGAGAAACTGAAGTAAAGTCTTACAATCAGGAAGAGAGATTAAGACCAAAATTTTACACTGCAAACGCCGGGAATCTATCGTCATCAACTGAGTGGAGGTGGAATGATTTTCAGCAGGACTCTTTGAAATCACTGGATTTGGAAACAGAACCGTGCAGGTTACCAGAACACGAACGTAGATACATACAGGAAGTTATCAGAAGACACACTAACATACACGGAGTCAGACCAAATCCGAAGATTAAGCTAGCCAGCCAGAGTCAAGAAGGGCAGGATAGTGCCTTCAGACGACTTCAATCCAGAGATGTTTCTCAATCACTGCCGAACTACTTCGAACAAGAGGAGACAGAAAGCACAAGTAGTAGTGTGGCCCCTCTACGAGAAACCACAGTAATAACACGAACAATGGACTTTGGAAGTGAGAGTGATGCGCGGTCTTTGTATGGATCAGTACTATCCACCCAGAAACATCCACAAATTGAAAATCTCAATCGAATGTTCAAATCCAAACAGTTTGAAATAAATGGAGAAATAGGTGATTTTAAAGACATGAGAAACTCGAGTGATATTCGAGAACAAATTAATCATGCGTCTGATAAACACTTGATTAAGAATGATTCATTTTCAGCATCTATTGACAGTCACTATCTAGACAGTGAATTATATGCTGTTCCAAGAAAAAATCATTATAACTCCATGCGTAAAGGCAGTAAAAAACAAGGTCTTGCAGCGACAGAGCTAGTTCAAGATGTGGAACTTGGTAGTAAGAGTGAATGCTCTTATTCGAGTAATCAAAGCGATAACTGGCAACTTCAACGTAATAAGGAGCATAATATCACGCGAAGTATGATCGGAGATGATAATGAAAGCGGAGACAGTCAATCAACTCTGAAGCACGAAAAACACACCTCTTTCAAAACTAGAGATGCTTATGGACCAGAAGATGTCCACGAAATGACCTATAGCAAATATATGAAAACAAACGAATTTCAAGAAGCCAATGACGAGACTCTTGCCAAAATGAAGAGGAACGGAACTACTAAAGTTGTCATTAATGTGCCCTATAAAGAAGGATTATCGTATGGTCAGGATCGAACAAACTATATTGCAACTGGGATCCGAACCTTTCATAAGCACAACAACGTGAAGAACTGGTCCACAATGAGCCAGGGTTCAGAAGCATCGTACAAAGGTTCGATCACACACAATGGAGCTGCCACACTACCCCTGAACAGAGGTCAGCAAAAGTCCATAAGGTTTTCATCAGATGACCATTTGAACAGAAAACCAAGTTTCCTGGCGAGTTTTAAACGAATGAGCTTAAAATCACTGAAGAGGGCTAGAAAGAAATTTGCTAGTTTCAGAACTAAAAAAAAAGTCCCATCGAAAAGGAAAAAGGAGTGTGAAATTTCTGAGGACTCGGCCTACGATACTTCTGAAGTGTGTTTGAGCCCTAATGGTGGACAAATAGTTAAAATAAAAAATCCCGAGAGATCCTGGAGTTTCCAAGATCTTCCAACAGAACATTCCCAGTCACAAGGGGTAGAAAACGGAAGCAGTGGTTCGCAAAAAGCTCAATCTTCGAAAAAGAACGGTGGTCTCTCGAAAAAACGCTTTCGTAGATTGCGTCGTCGCGGCTCCGGAAGCAGCCTTTCCTATGATTCTGGAGTAGATGACTACCATTCCGATCATTCGATACCATTACACAACCATTATAAGTCTGACTCCGAACTAAACCGTGGAACAACAATAAACATTCGTCACGGTATTAGTGAACGGAAATTCCAACACTGGTCTCAGACTGACCTAGCTGATGAACTTGGTTATATTCCATGAAGCTGTTACGTCACATTGGCCTGTTATGATTATTGCTCATTACTTACCCTAATCAAGAAATTATTTTGTAGTTTTAGTTCTCTGCTTATAAATAACATTTGTAGTTTTGTTTTCTGTGTGACTCAGAAAACACGTTTTAATCCTGATGCCTAAGAATGAGAAACAATCTGCCATATTTCCACTGAGAAAGATATTTTCACTTACTTCTGTGCAAACTTGTATTAAAGGGGCGTAATTGTTTAGGGAGGGGAGAAAACAAAATTTCATTTCGAACTTAAGAAATTATAATATAGGAACGAAAGTAAACTATAAGTAATTGTTATTCAAGGCTGATAACACTAAACATGGACATCGTGTGTGCAGCACACTCACGTTACCAACTTGGCGCGTGCCACGTGCAGCAGCAACGACTGATGCGTACAACGTGGCAAGTAATAGTGTTCTACCGTCATGTTGTGGGTTTATCAAGAATATCGTGGCAAGTAATACTGTTATGTCATCATGTTGTGGGCTTATCAAGAATATCGTGGCAAGTAATACTGCTCTATCATCATGTCTTACCAATAATATCGTGGCAAGTAATACTGCTCTACCGTTATGTCTTACCAATAATATCGTGGCAAGTAATACTGCTCTACCGTCATGTCTTACCAAGAATATCGTGGCAAGTAATACTGCTCTACCGTCATGTCTTACCAATAATATCGTGGCAAGTGATACTGTTCTACTGTCATGTCTTACCAAGAATATCGTGGCGAGTAATACTACTCTACCTTCATGTCTTACCAAGAATATCGTGGCAAGTATTACTGCTCTACCGTCATGTTGTGGGCTTATCAAGAATATCGTGGCAAGTAATACTGCTCTACCGTCATGTCTTACCAAGAATATCGTGGCAAGTAATACTGCTCTACCGTCATGTCTTACCAAGAATATCGTGGCAAGTTATACTGCTCTATCATCATGTCTTACCAAGAACACCGTGGCAAGTAATACTGTTCTACCGTCATGTCTTACCAAGAATATCGTGGCAAGTTATACTGCTCTATCATCATGTCTTACCAAGAACACCGTGGCAAGTAATAATGTTCTACTGTCATGTCTTACCAAGAATATCGTGGCAAGTTATACTGTTCTGTCATCATGTTGTGGTCTTACAAAGTTTATCGTGGCAAGTAATACTGTTCTGTCATCATGTTGTGGTCTTACCAAGTTTATCGTGGCAAATAATACTGTTCTGTCATCATGTTGTGGTCTTACAAAGTTTATCGTGGCAAGTAATACTGTTCTGTCATCATGTTGTGGTCTTACCAAGTTTATCGTGGCAAATAATACTCTTCTGTCATCATGTTGTGGTCTTACCAAGTTTATCGTGGCAAGTAATACCGTTCTATCGCTATGTTGTGATCTTACAAAGAAAATCTTGGTAAGTAATACCGTCATGTCTTACCAAGAACTTCGTGGGAAATAATACTCCATAAAGTAATAATTTGATCTTACCAATATTTTATTTAATTGACACTCTACAACGTCATCTTGTGATCTCACAAAATGTATCACAGTAAATGATAATGCATAACATTATCTCGTGTTATTATCAAAATCATTGTAATTGATACTGTACAACGTCAACACGAGTTTTGTCAATATCTTCCTATCTAACAACAGCAGAAATGCATAAACAAGTTAATCAAGTTTGGAAAACGTTAACAACGTTCTGTTTACAAGAAAACGTAAAATATCTTTCAAGCGTCGTAGCAACTACTACTACACAACGTCATATTTATGTTCTTACTAAAACCATCTTGGTAACTAATAATGCACAACGTCATATTTATGTTCTTACTAAAAACATCTTGGTAACTAATACTACACAACGTCATATTTATGTTCTTACTAAAACATCTTCGTAACTAATACTGCACAACGTCATATTTATGTTCTTACTAAAACCATCTTGGTAACTAATAATGCACAACGTCATATTTATGTTCTTACTAAAACCATCTTGGTAACTAATATTACACAACGTCATATTTATGTTCTTACTAAAACCATCTTGGTAACTAATATTACACAACGTCATATTTATGTTCTTACTAAAACCATCTTGGTAACTAATACTGCATTACGTCATCCTTCGGTTTTACTAAAACATCTTGGTAACTAATGCTGCACAACGTCATATTTATATTCTTACTAAAGACATCTTGGCAACTTATACCGCATTACGTCATCCTGTGATTTTACTAAAATATCTTTGCAACAAAACCATTATAATTAATAATATACTACAATGATGTTCTGATATTACAAAGAACATTGTTGTAAATAATACCGTTCTATCATCATTTTGTAGTTTAACCAAAAACATGGTGACAACTGATATTGTACATCATTACATTCTACCGTCATGTTGTGGTTTAACCAAAAACATGGTGACAACTGATATTGTACATCATTACGTACTACCGTCATGTTGTGGTTTAACCAAAAACATGGTGACAACTGATATTGTACATCATTACACACTACCGTCATGTTGTGGTTTAACCAAAGACATGATGACAAATAATGTTGTACATCATTACATACTACCGTCATGTTGTGGTTTAACCAAAAACATGGTGACAACTGATATTGTACATCATTACATACTACCGTCATGTTGTGGTTTAACCAAAAACATGGTGACAACTAATAATGTACATCATTACATACTACCGTCATGTTGTGTTTTTATTCTCCTCAAATTTGTCTTGGTTAACTTGCTATCGTTAAATATGAAGATCTTGACAAAACTCTGCCATTGTTTTATCTTCGGGCAGCAGTGACTAATTTGCATATATTAATTACACAAAGAAATCGTTAGCACTAGTAGTTCAAAAATAAATAGATAAAACTCTTGGTACAATTTGTCTTTAGAAAAAATGTTCTGCCATTCCTTGTTTTGAAGAAGTGTATCATTACTTATGAGATAAACAATTTGTTGTCATTGGTGTAATAAGTTTCCCAATGTCTTATTACGATTATGTTACCACGATTCCACTGAAACTACGAAAGTTATATTTCTCTAAGTCACCTTCGTATCTTAAAATCTATTTCAAACATCAATTTTTCCTGCTTAATTAATTAGGTGTCGTGTGTTATCTCTACGTTCGGAAGGAAGATTATCGAGAAAAAAAAAAATCAGGGTGTTTGAGAGTATCTCTACTGGACCATCGATAATAAGTAACTATGTCCGATCATTGCGCCGTTTCCGTCATTGTTCAACACAAACTTTCTTTTTTTTCCCTCTGACGTCCAAGAGGAACAAGGAAGTTTGTGTTGACGTCAGTTATAGCGTTGTAAATAAACACTTTGGTTTAATTTTAACGCAAAACAATAAAGCTACTTTTAGAACACATTTTGCATGTACATAAACATGTATATGTTTATTACCTAATTCATCCAATGTTAGATGAATTTAAAGCGAAATATCGGGTGTTTTTTTAATAGACTTTTTCTCATCATCGCATCCAAAATAAGCCTATTTTGTATGAATTTATTAACATGACTACTGTAGGTGTTTAGTCATTATAGGTGTTCTTTTAAGCTGCTAAAATAAGAGATTTCTCTCAATGTGACTGAACGGGGAAAAATATGTTATTAAGATCTTTCCTAAGATGGAAATTTTACGTTGGTTGGTTATACAATACAGTTAGTTCTAGTGATTAATTAGTTGTCATCCATTTTGCTCACACGGAAGAATATGTCTCTGTCGTATCACATCGTGCTTGTTAAAGAGATTATAGACATTACGAGTAAATGAAAATGCTTGTAGAACAAACAAAAAATTCACCTTTTAAAGTATGCGACAATGCATGATTTTATCTATAAAACATGCCTTTCAATACGATCACAATTTTCTTCAAGGCATTGTCGTCTTTTCTTAAAGCGCGTTACAAAAATAAGATCTGTCTCGCGACAAGACTTCACACAAATTTCTTTAATTTGACAAACGTTATCCATTTTCTACATGTATGACGACACAGTTCCAGTTTCTTTGCTTAATTAAGTTAACACATCATTAGAAAGAATATTTCAATACATCATGGACTTATGTAAGTGTCATCGTTATTTTGGCGTAGTGTTTGTGGTGTTGGGGTACGTAATGCCTTCAGAAATTACAACATAACATTAGAGGATAAAATATGCATTTTAGTTGTTATTCATAAGTGTGATTTTAATCACGTTAAATAATAAATGAAGTCACTTTTAATCAATAAAAAATATGAATTTCTTATAAAATTACTAAATATTCATTATTAAATTTCATTTTTACTTAATTTCTTAAAAGTATAATATTACGGAAGCTTGACTATGATTAGCTGTGGATTATTATTATTTTATTTTTTGTAATTTGCTTTATGCTAATAATAATGTTTATATTGAAATGACAATTTCTTAAAAATGTTAGTATATTTTAGTTCCTTATCGGCCGAGGATACTTCTGAATATATAATTATTATGTAAAATCCTCGTAGTGTTCCCCTGGTGGTGAAAGTTATAAACATGCTTTAATCTTCAGTAACCATTATATCGTTTAAATATATATATATATATATATATATATTGGTGTTATTAGAGCAAATTATGGTTTAATAAAACATTTTTCTGACAAACACTATATTCTGGGTTGTTTTTGTATTTTGAAATTAAGGCTTACATAGTTCCTAATAACAATGGCCTAGCATGGCCAGATGGTTAGGGTGCTCGACTCGCAATCTGTGGGTTCGAATCTCCGTCCCACCAAATATGCTCGCCCTTTCAGCCGTGGGGGCGTTATAATGTGACGGTCAATCCCATTATTCGTTGGTAAAAAAACAGCCCAAGAGCTGGCGGTGGGTGGTGATGACTAGTTTGCCTTCCCTCTAATCTTTCACTGCTAAATTAGGGACGGATAGCCCACGTGTTGCTTCGTAACATACCTAATCACATTGAGCAAGTACAAACTTTGTAAAGAAAAAAAAAAATCAAGATAGCAACAAAAATGAAGGTTAATGCCGTCTTTCGTTTCTTCTATTTCTATAATTAGTAAAGAAACAGAAACATCAAATAATCTCACAGAATGTGTTTAGATGTACTGTAGAAATTAGTAAATCGTCGCATAGATAAGAGATTACGGGAAAATTGTAACGCTAAGCGTTAGGATAATCGCTTTTCGAAGATGGGATTAAGCTAACAATAAATACGAGGGATTATATTGTGTTAAACTGTTTTACATGACAATTACGTTATTTTATAAAGCTATCATGTAGTACATACTGAACACGTATCGCTTTATATGCAAGTGCAAGGTGTCGGTTAATCAACCAGAAGAGGGCGTTGTGCTGAAGTCATTGACACATCTCTTGTAGCTTCAATTCTTCTCGATAATGTCACGGGCTATTCATAGAAAACCCAGAAGAGAGGTGAGAGGTTTAGTGTTGACTCCCTTCATAGCACGTTGGGTTTATCGGCATTAAAGCAACTGACTACTACAAATGATAACACAATTGTGTTCTACCTGCTCGTCACGTTTTGTTAATTACAAACATAAAGAATTGTCTGTGGAGTATCGATGGCGAACGTAATATAACACGCTGTTTTCCAAGTAATTTTCTCACAAAAATGTATCTTCCTATTTAAATCTGTTTGTCAGCCAAACGGACTCGGAAAGGTAATGTTCTATTTGGAGAACTTGGTAACCGAGTATAAAGGAACAAGCTACTATCGTTTACTGTAAACAAACTATACAAAGAGTTCTTGAATAATGTCACTGGGACAGAAGATAAGTTGCTCTTGGAGAAGTAACGTGTGTATTTAAAATTATATAACATCTAAAATTGATTAAAACAACATTCATTACTAGAGTTACTTCTTGGTGGTGCAATTAGGACAACACGTAGAATAATACACAAAAAATACCATAAATCAGAGCTGATGAGTCTTGATAACTTGAAAGCAGCCATTTCTTCTTCAAAGGGAATTGAGAATGATGAACAATGAGTGCATTTCTTACACATCTCTACATCACCATTGACTTTGTTTGTTGTTGTCGTCAAGCCGCAAAACAACACAATTGTTTATCTATGCTGTGCCCACCACAAGTATCGAAACTAAGTTTTAGTGTTTTGAGTCTTTAGGCTTACAACAGAGCCACTGGAAGACTTCGCCACTGAACAAAAATCTTGCATTTGGAGTGTCTTTAATGGTTATTTATCTAATGTGTTTGGTAAGTTTAAGAGTCTTTATTTAAATAAACAATCACTAGATGCGTCTTTTATAAGTGAAACAGGGGGGGGGGGGTGAAAAGGTTCTAAAACATCCAATAGAAGATGTGTTAAATATGACTAACTAAATTTTTGTCGTAAGAATGAAAATGTTAAACCTAAATTTGGCAAAATCACGTTTTCTTTTACATATAATTTTAAAAAAATGATTTGGTGCATTCCTTAAATAAATAGCGAACGTTAAAACTGATAAACCAGCCAAGATCGTTCATCTTTACCGAAAATTGCTTGAAAGTAAGTATATTACCATATCTTACACAAACAAAGAAAATATAATTATCAAATTGAAAAATTCTTTACTATTAATCTATATTATTAATACCAGAAGGATGTTTAATAATCTGAATTGTCTTATTTTGGATAGAACAGTTCTTAATAATTGTAACAATGGTGCCACTTGAAATGGAACGACTGAGAAGGATTATGTATTAAAAGAATGCTATCAGTTGCCAAAAAAATAATAATGTGATATGTGATACAGCAATGGTATTAGTTGCAGTGAAACAACACGAGAAATGTATTATTACGACAGCGCTGTTTGCGTATCATACGACATTAGTATTAGATATATTTCACTTTTAAACACTACATTTTAATACAGTACTTCATAAATTAGAAGAGTTTATAGTATTTCAACCACACTTAATTCTTCATATCCATTGCCGACGACGCGTTTTGCTCGATCCAGAGCCATTCAGGTGGGATACAACAAGCATAGCAGTGGCTGGAACACCACCGATATAAGTCATGTGAAACAACAACAACAATTGTTATTCTTGAGAGTGGATTAAGAATGTAATGTTTAAAGGTGTAATAGGCCTAATACTAACGTCTTATGACAATTAAAACGCTCCCTTCTCAGTGGCATAGCGGTATTTCTGAGGACATACAACTCTAGAAATCGGGTTTTGATACCCGTGGTGGGCAGAGCACAGATAGCCCATTGTGCAGATTTTTGCTTAATTACAGACAAACAAGCAAAATTGTAATCATTCTTCGTCGACTTGTAAAAGGCGTACACACCATAACTTTTAAAGTGTCCAGCGCCATGTTTTGTCTATTTTCAATAGATTTATCTAAAAATTTCAAATATTAATATCTGACAATGTTGTTTTGGCAACAGAAGTATGCTGTACACATTTTAAAAGAAAACTAATTAAGTAGAAACTAATAGCTTCGCTACCCAACGCTATAAAAGTATGGTAGAGTATCACATTCTGGTCAAGTTCTTTATGACCATAGGTATTTATCTAATGATTTTTATATTTACATTTTTTACTTCATTCATCTCCTATGGTCCCTCGATGGGACAGCAGGAATTTTACAAACTTAAAGTGCTAAAACCCGAGGTTAGAACCCCCACAGCGAACAAAGCTGATAGCTTACGTGACTTTGCTTTAAAACAAACAGCCAAATATTAAACTGGACAACAAAAAAATTGCCTCAAGTGATTCAGGTTTATTGGTGTAAAATTCCAAATATATTTTTCATATATACTATTTGTTCTCGATATAACTGTAGCGAATTGCCCCACTTTTGCTTCATTCCCACGCTCACCTGCTCCGCCCTGTAATCACGAAACCCTCACGTGCTCATTTTGCTAGAACATTTGAGAAGTTCCTCGACTGAGCATAAAAGGGTCGGAGGCCCGGCATGGCCGGGTTGTTAGGGCCCCCGACTCGCAATCTGAGGATCGCAGGTTCGAATCCCCGTCACACCAAACATGCTCGCCCTTTCAACCGTGGGAGCGTTATAACGTGACGGTCAATCCCACTATCCGTTGGTAAAAGAGTAGCCCAAGAGTTGGCGGTGGGTGGTGATGACCAGCTGCCTTCCGTCTAGTCTTACACATAGAGGGGGGATATCCAGACGCTGACTCCTATATCACTCTCCTAAGGTTCAAAGAGTGCAATCCTGATCTTATGTTTGTTTTTGTAATTAAGCACAAAGCTACACAATGGGCTATCTGTGCTCTGCCAACCACGAGTATTGAAACCCGGATTCTAGCGTTGTAAGTCCGCAGACATACCGGGGGCCCTGATTTTGTGATAATTTGTCCACTGACACGCGCACTCAAAGACTTTTTAAGGATGATCTGTGTGTGAATTTTATCATATAAGATCTCGTGTAGCTTTGCGCGAAATTCATAACAAACAAAGAGTCGGAGTCAAACTCGTCTTTCTCTCAGTTGCCCCTCGCTCACTCAGTTGGTCATTTCACCTTTGTATGCAAAACTTTGTATTTTAAAATCTTTCAAACCTTATTTTTGTAAATATAAATTATTTTATATATATTTTGAGAAAATCATTCCATATGCTGGCTGCCTCCAGTTCAAGTAATGTCCGAAAGTGCAAAAATCACCCAAATAGTTTTTGCCAAATTTGGGGAAAATATAATATATATATTCACGAAGGAAAAACATCATACAAAAGATAATGGTAGCTTACTACCACTATTTCGGTATAAAATTAGTGACCAAGAAAAGCATCGGGTCCCGCATGTTTGTTGTACAGTTTACACATTTGGCTTGACACAATGTCTGAATAAGAAGAGAGCAAGTATACCATTTTTAGTTCCCGTGATATGGCGTTAGCCCAAATATAATTTACTGACTGTTATTTTTGCTTGACAAATGTTTCTGGATATTCAACCGAAACTAAGCAATACAATAAATATCCAGATATTGCTGCAATAACATCAGTACCTCACAGGGGTGGTGTTCCAGTGTCACATCCACCAGTGAATTGGGAAACAGAAGAGTTATCCTGCGAAGAAGACAATGAATTATCTTCATCTAGTAATTCTATTCCTGTGGCACTTCAATATAAATTGCCTCATCTGATTCCACAGGGAGAGCTAAATGATCTGATTTGTGACTTGTCTCTATCAAAGCAGCATGGGGAACATCTTGGCTCTCGTTTTCAGAAATGGAACTTATTACCTCCAGGAACAAAAGTTTCAATTTACCGAAGTCGCCATCAGAGTCTTGCTTCTCACTACAACATGCAAAATAATTTATGTTTCAGTACTAATGTTGATGCACTAATTAAGTACTGAAAATCATCTTCAAGAATGGAGAATTTTATCGACTCGTGTAGTTAATCTGAAAGCTGTACTTTCGCACATGAGAACCATTCCTGTTGCTCATGATGGGAACATGAAAAACTTATCAAAGCATGCAGATTATACTTGAGGCCATCAAATATTATCACTATAGATGGAACATGTGTGGTGTTCTAAAAGTTATTGTACTCCTGTTACGTTTGCAGAGTGAGTATACAAACCATTGTTGCTTTTTATGTTTCTAGGACAGCCGAGATGATAAAAAAATGGCCAGTGGGAGAGAATTACATACCAGGGAATAAATAGATCGAGTATAAACCTTTAGTGAATCCCTATAATGTGTTTCTGCCCTCACTTCATATTAAACTGGGACTCAAGAAGAATTTTGTAAAAGGAATGAACAAAGATTGTGATGGTTTCAGTGAAGAAAAATGAAAAGATAGATCTTTGTTGACCAACAGATTCGGGAAGTGCTGATGGATGATGATTTTGAAAGAGTACTCAATCACGAAGAACTTGCTTCCTGGAAATCATTCAAACTGGTCGTGAAAAATTTCTTAGGAAATTAGAGAGATGAAAACTATGCTGTACTGATTGATGATATACTCGAGAACTACAGGAGAATTGGGTATAGGATGTCACTAAATATACACTTCTTACACTCCCATTTAGACTTCTTTCCAAATGATCTAGGTATAGTGAGCGATTAGCAGGTTGAGCGCTTCCACCAAGATATTTCTACAATATGGCAGCGATATCAAGGATGATTGAATCCTGCGATGATGGGAGATTACTGTTGGTTCTTACCTCATGAAACTGAGAACATACTTAAAATGTGCAACAAGTCAGGCAGATATTTTGTAATAGAAAATAATACCATGATGAAAGGTTTGAACATATCCTTATTATAATCTTATTATACTCATTGCTGTTTTAAACTGATATTGGTATTATGTATTGTTTTCGAACATTCTTAAATGCAATTTTCAAAGAATAAATAAAGTTATTTTTACGATATATAAGTTTCGTGATATAAAAGACTGTTTGGTTTAAACATTAGTGATTAATTTATATTTGTGACTTAATACTTTATTATTTTTAAGTTTTGTTATAATAAGAGTTAAAAGCAGACGATTGTAGAAGGTTTTGTTAAGAACTAATTGGTGTCGAGAATATAGAAAGTGTCCAGACGACTATGTAATAAAGACATAAATAGCGTGAGGCGAGCGGGAAGCAGCAGGCAGACAACAACAGATAGATAATAAAAGCTAATGAGAACATAGCTGTGTAAATGTAAGTACCGTAGATGTGATAGGCCTAACGTTTAACATGTTAGAGTGAGACTGACAGTATAAAAAAAAAGATAAGGAGGATAATTTTATTTCGTCAAAGCGTGAATCTAAAGTAACTGAATCAGCCTGGGTACACTTTGACAAAAGGAACAGAGGATCTTCAGAAGACAGAAGACCAAATGAATTACGGTAATTTGCGCCACAACTGTAACTTGTAAGTGAAACACACACAGAATACTAGTACGATAGAGAAGATAGTTCGACTTGTCAACTGAAATTCTAATGTAATTGAACAGGCCTAAGTGGACTTTTGACAAGAAGAGAACTATACATAAACTGATATAACGTTTACGATGTGCTTATATTCTCTATTATGTGAACACTTTATTGTACATACGTTAAACTTGTTCCGAATATATATATTATTTGAAAACAAGTAAAGTGTGTGTTGTTTATTGACCGTTGAATTTATCGCTAACAAGTTATAGACACCTGTAGAAGAATCCTAAGCCCAACAACAACACAGTATATATTTATAGTATATAAATATAAGTAAAAGCCATTTATTTCGACATCTGGCAAAACGAACTTATATATTTTGTATTATTTTTTAAAATCTGACAATAACGATATTTCGAATAAATCTATAATAAAATTACTTTTTTTTTGCATGGTGTAATTTTAAAGAAAGAGAAATAACAACATATTACTACTAGCTAATGATTACAGAATTAACAAAACATTGTTTCGACAGACAAAGCTTGTGAATTAGAATGAGGAACTGTTATTAATGTGTTTTATAAAATTTGGGTCAAGAGTTTGGTTGAACATTCTCTATTGTTCTTCTCTTTTTTTTTAACAGTGATATATTAATGGACACAGTATGACAAAAAATGAGAATTTCTTCTCCTTAATTCTGGTATGACAGAAGATATACTTTTCTATGTCTCACGACTTATTGGTATAATAGCAGACCTGTTTTTATACGTCTTGCAACTAATTGGAATGGCAGTAGTCATGTTTTTTATGTTTGTTTGTTTGTAATTAAGTTCAAAGCTACCCAATGGGCTATCTGTGCTCTGCCCACCACAAGTATCGAAACCCAGTTTATAGCGTTGTAAGTCCGCAGACATACCGCTGTGCCACTGGGGGGGGGGGGGTGTTGACAGCAGAAAAGTTTTATAATTCAAGACTTATCGATATGACAGCAGATACGATTCTCTAAATCTAGAATATTATCTGTATTTTACTAGGTATACATGACGCTTAGTTTATGGTAGCATAAACTATCTGAAGTTTCTTAGATGGAGAAAAATGAGCCCAGTGTTTGTACAATGAAACATTTTATTGTGATAATATTGTTTAACATTGCTTTCCATACTAGAAAAACAACTACTTATTAATAAAGAGAAGTTATTTTTTATAATATGAATTAAATAACAGCAGCGCTAATTTCTGATTTCAGCCAATTTTTTGTAGTATTCCTCGAGTTCCGTCTAGAAGCACTTGATCACCTGAAATAAACAATATTTGATTAAGAGAACAATGCATACTGGGAGAGAGATGTATAATGAGAGAAAAAGATGCATAATGTGAATTTGACAATATCAGTCATTCTACTATTTTATCAAACATTTCATTCAACAAAGATGTCAACATGCACTTTGTTACTGGAATCTTGACCTCATCTATAATAATAAAAAAGTATGTCTCTTTGTGTGTGTGTGACCGACATAACTCCAAGAGTAAAGAATCTCGAAACTTGAAATTTTGTACACATATTAAGTGGACCCTGAGGGTGTGCACCTGGGTATTATTACTTATCCACGTGCGCGCAAGTGTACATCTTTTTGTGAGGTAAGCAAGCGAACAACCACATAGAAAATAGTATGTGACTGTCATAGCTCCAAGAGCAAAAAAAAAACCCATAAATCTGAAATTTTTCACTCATACTAAGTGGATCCTGAGGGTGTGCATCTATTTCTATTCGCCAAAGTGGCCAGCAAAGTCTTGTTTCTCACTACAGCATGCAAGATAATTTTTTTCTTTCTGTTAAAACGTTGATGCATTAATGGAAAAGTTAGGTACTGAACATCATCATCAAGAATGGAGTCCTTTTATCGACTCATATAAACTTAACTTGAAAGTTGTACTTTTGCACAATTGGAGCATTAAGCCATCGATTCCTGTTGTTCATGCTGTGAACATGAAATAAACCTATCAAAGCATGAAGATTATACTTTCTTAAATGCAATTTTCAATTAATAGATAAAGGTATTAAAGAAAAATTTATTTTCATGATACATTAGAACATTTTGAATAAATCTATCATAATTCGAAAAATAGAGGTGATCAGTAATTTTCAACATGATTTTTAGAATCACCATGGCCAAATTACTCAGAAACAGTTGCAAGTTTTCTAGTAGCAGACAAAAAATTTGTTGTTGCCCAGTGTTATTTGAAAGTAATATTTCATTAATACCATAAGGGGACTTGGTGTTCAGTCGGAAGATAAGATGGTGTTCAAGGCTTTTTCGTTTTAACTTGTTAAGTGGTGCATTTCTCATGATAAGACTACCATGTCTGAAGTACCATTGTGGTCAGAAAAGGTAAAATTTCTAGGAACTGGGAGGTCAGTGGAGCCTTCTAATACAGACCTAAGGTGTTCATGAAAACGATCACCCAATCTGCGGGCTCTTTCTTCAATAGTTTGTGATACTTGCTACACTGGATGCAGTAAGTGATATCCTGACATGCAGATGTAACGTCTCCTGACGTGGAAAATTGTAACTAAGGCCAGTTATCGTAGTGTTTGAAATATAGGACAGGTACAACAAATTTTTCTGGTAGAATGACGACTTCCTACAATGGAGTGATTGTTGTCCTGTAGGTTCGAGTGCACAAAGTGGTCTTTGAGATTGGGTTACGTCTATAATGAACTAGGGAAAGTGCAATAAACATTTCATCAGTCATGGAGTCAGTCATTAGAAACTGTGAGGAATAACAGTGTATAATGATTGTATGTTCATGATAAAGATGTAAGTTTCAGGTTTTGTGTGATGAAAGTTTTTAAGATGGTTTAGAACAGCTGTGGTGTCTTTAACATAGGAGAGAGAGAGACGATCAGAAACAAAATCTATGAATTAGATATTCATTCAATGGAATAGGTACAAGCTGAAACTATGGGATGACCAGGATAACCAGATTTGTGAATCTTGGGCAAAAAGTAGAAAATGTTTATTTTGGGATTTTTTTAAATTGTTTTTTTTTATAAATTATTGTATGTTTTTCTTAATGTGTTTCTGATATTCAAGGGTTGGATCTATATCAAGTGTCTTGTAGAAGTTGGGGTTGTTCAGTTGTCTGAGGGCTTCTTGTATGTAAAGAACTTATTGCCATACGACAACAGTTGCATCTTTGTTGGCTGGTTTAATTACTATGTCTGTGTGATTCTTGAGTGAAGATAAGACAAGTCTTTATTTTATATTTATGTTAAGTGGTGGAGTTTTTTTCTTTAGATTTAGTGCATGAATTTCAGTCTGATAAAGATGAATGAAGGTACCAGGCGTTTGTAGTACTCCTTCTGGTGGTGGCTATTTGTGCTGTCTGAAATCCAGTGACTTAAAAAATCATGTGTAGAGTTAGGTGTGGTATCGTCAACAGTATTGGTGTTTATAGAGGGGGGAGGGGTCACTAGTTGCTCTTTGATTTGTTGTTTTGCTCCTGGTGTTGGTGGGTGTTGTAACAACTGTAATTTTAGTAATAAAATGTGATTTCTGGTAGCAGCATCTGAAAAAATATTTCTATATCAACTTTAAGAGTGTATTAAACAGTTTGAATATCAGAAGGTGCAAAGTTTAGTTTTTTAGAAAGTACACGTTGTTCTGTATTAGAAAGGGGAAGACATGTTTATTGAGGTCTTTTTTTCTGGGGTTCTGGTTATGATAATACCAAGGTTATGTAATTTGGTAAGTTTTAAGTTGCTCAAAGTTTCATGGTAAATGTTGAGCTAACAGACGTGTTGTCTAATTTTAATAGCCACTGAAATTTCACAAATCAAGTATAGATTATTTTGGGAATTTTCCATTTCACTTCAGTTGTTGTTTCGTACCTTACAAAAGCTATTGTGGGTAGCTCCCATCAGATATAAAGAACATCTGTGTAATTTATTAGCACATCTGTGCTAATATGATTCTCAAACTTTCTGATTGTGCATTTGAAGTGATAAAAACGGAGTTTAAAAACCACAGGGAATTTCCCTGTGATACATGACAGTTTTTTCAAAAAGAATATATGGTTACTGGATCTCTTTTTGAATAATCTGGAAGTGGAAGTAAAAAGACTCAATCCTGTTCGAAAAATATCTCTTGGAAAAGACTGGAGGAATATTATCATATCTTTTACAATGTCTCTCGATCACTAATGTTCAAACATTCTAGGTATTCTATAAAAACTCTTATAAGCTTACGTGATATTTATGTCATGCACCCTCAAGCTAACATCTAAATTAAAACATTTAAAATGTAGCTTATAACACTGCCTCCTTGATGGATTGTGAAGTCCTTTAAACAATCCTAATAAAAAATTAAAACTACACTAAACTGTCCATTCATCAAATCTTTTAGGTGGTTTTCTGTTTCTGGAAGTTATGGTATATGGATCACATGGCCTCTTGTTCCTTGTTATCACTTGTTGTCCTGAAACTGGGAGTATTCTTCCTAGGTAGGTGGTCAAGTGCATCCACTGGCAGCTCTAACCTTGTGGATCCTCTATAAATGGTCTAGGTAAGATCCCTGTGCACCTCAGTAGGACAACTATCTGCTTGAAAATTATTCTCTGGACTTACCCTGTTAGCCATGCCCTCACTGATGTACTCCCAAAGGTGATCACAGTAAATGACCTTTGACATGAGCCACCTGTCCCTTTAAATTCTTGCAGTCCACACCATTGATCCTTTTGAGTATGATACATACTCCTTGAACACCTATTTATCTTCTCTTGCAGCAAGAACTGTTCAATCAAACCTGGCATGGTCTGATGGTTAGGTCGTTCGACTCGCATTCTGCAGGTCGCAGTCTCGAATACCTGTCGCCAAACATGACCACCCTTTTAGATGTAGGTGTGTTATAATGTGACAGTCAGTCCCACTATTTGTTGGTAAAAGAGTAACCCAAGAGTTTGTGGTAGATGGTGTTGGCAATCTGCCTTCTCTCTAGTTTGTCACTGCTAAATTAGGGATGGCTAGTGCAAATAGCCCTCGTGTAGCTTTGCATAAAATTCAAAACAAACAAACAAATTTTTCAACCATGTTATGTCACCTCGATGAAATCCAATTTTATTAGCATGACCTTTCACAAGCTGATTTACATCTTTTTTGGGTAAAATCATCTATGACACCTTTATTATTCACGTCCACAAGAGCTCTTCCAAACACCAATTCCTCAGGACAGTTAGTTCCACTACACCTTAGTGACAACACTTGTTATGAGTAATTTACTTCTTGATGCTACAATGAACACCCTTCCTGTTGTCACTGGAAGTTCAGTCTCTGGCGTGCTAATTGGCATATAGTTCATAGGGTTAAAGCTCACCCAACCTTACATTCATGTCTCTGCATCAAGTCTGTTCCCAGTATGCATTCTTCCTTGATGTCACTTACCTACATGCCCATTTTGAAGTATAGAGAAGCTTCCTATGGTAAGGATAACGTCCAATTCCCTTTTTCTGGAACTCTATGTCTAACTTATTTCTCGTCTGGAGTAGATGGAGTATTCCTAGCTGAAATTTCCCCATTAATCCCCTTAATTCCGGTCTTTTTAACATCTGGTTACCACATTACTGTGACTTTGACCTATTTGGACTAAAAGTCAGATCCTCCTTAGCTTAATAAAAGCTTTTGTTTCCTTACAGAATCGGCTGTAATAATTATATTTCTAACAATAATATTCTCTTAAAAAAGTTATTCTTCCACACAGCCTCTAATCTATAGTTTCTCACAAAACTTGAAACATATTTTCGTATAGTCTGTTTCCTCCATTCTGTGTAACTGGCTGTCTGATTAATTTCTTCTATACAATACTTAAGAGAAGTCAGTGTTTCAATACCATGGAATCTGTGATGTCTTAACTTCTAGATAATAAGAAGTATTGTTCATATAACTGTAGCATATTAGTTTATTTCATCCTCAACACACAAACAATGTTTTAACTTTCAAGAGAAATTTAGTCACTAATGGTACTATGACTAAGGGACAAATAAACTTACTTGTACAATTTTTAGGCTAATCAATCGAGTAAATAGATATACACAATAACTAACATTTATACGAAAACTTGACTGAATGATTGGCACTTTTCTAATTAAAAATTGCTTCACTGATTCTCGTATTCATTATGTAGCCTTGTTTTTAGACACTGCAAAATCTCTAGATCACTAATATTCACGAACGTTATAGGTATTCTAGATCTACTTTTATGAACTAACTTGTTCTTAACGTCATGTGCCTCTATTTAAC